GTCTTTCCAAAGGGAGGAGAGTTCCCGCACTGTTTTCCCTTTCCCCCATGGTTGGGTCTCGGGACAGCTATAGTTAAAGGCATCAGTCATTATATCTGTTAACCTAATAACTTTATGCGCTAATGCCATGCAGCCACCTTTTTTGTGGCCCCTCTTTAACCCGGGTAGGTTAAAATCTAGCAGTTTCCTATAATTTTCCCAGTTAGTGTTTCTGGGGTTCCTCTTTGGAGTCTCTGCTCTGGCCTGCACTCCCAGCTGGAACCGGATAATCCTGTGGTCGGACAAGGAAGGTTCCGAAGACACCCACCATTGTCCAATCAGATTATTGCCCAGATAAATGTTGGACATTACCCAACGTGGTTTATATACAGATCTTCATTTATAATGTACTCCGGTAAGAACTCAGCCCGTTTGTTGATGTCGGTACTGCTCCACTGCTGCTGTGTATATGAATGTAGCAAAGTTTGACGCAGTCTGTTACGCAGAGATCATATTATCCCTAGTCACGGCACTTTTTCTCTAATTTGTTCCATTCTTTCTCTCTTTGACTAACATGCTGTTATGGGGAGGGCCAAATCCCCAGCGTATTTTTTTTTGACTCAGTTGTATTTCTTTGGTTTATTTTTTTACTACATTTTACATTTTTGTTATAAAATGACGAAAAAATAAGTAACGATATATGTATGTGTATAAAAATATGTCAAAAGCAAGCAAAACAAGGGTTGCTAGCAATAATTTTATTCTTTATTTTATTATTTATTGTATACGTCTGCAGCAAAAATGTACAATTCTGCTACTAAAGGGAGAAATAGTTGGGGTGTTCACAGTTCGTCCCAAATTGTGTCTCAAAATATAGACGTCTACATTTTGAGACATTTTTATCATCAAACTGTGAGCACTCCTTTCTAGTAGTGCGACGAGCAAGACTTTACTGGTGTTGCCAGATATTTCTTCTTTGCGCCCATATTTCATATGTCGCCTTTCAATATTGTTTCTGAAAAATTTGAATTGTTTAACTTAATTGCCAATTATTAATATTTGTTCTTTCTTTTCCTTGATTTGTATTTTTTCTTCAGCCATTGCCCTCAAATCAACTGCAAATACGCAAAGCGTCCCCAATAAAGTAAAAAAAAATTTGAATGATATTGCCATAATGCAACACTGCTGCGAAGTCGCTAAATGTAGACGCGTAAAAAAACATACCTTTGAGTGTGACAAAATGTAGACGGTGTCGTTTTCCAATTTTGTATGGGAAACAACAACACCACAGATTTTACGGTTAGAAAACGTCTTTAAATGTAGACATCTACATTTTATGACACTATTTGGAACGAACTGTGAACACCCCAAGTATAAAAAGTACTCCATTTAAAGTGTGTTTGCATTGTTCAACTTTGCGTTCAACATTTGCGTTAAACTCAGCGCAGGGTTGCACGAAAAAAAAAGTTGAATGGCTAAAAATATCAAAATATGAAAAAATATCAAAATATTCGCCAAAAAAGGTGTTTGCATTGTTCAGCTTTGCATTCAACTTTTGGTTGAACGGCCTTTCAACTAATCGCTTTCAACAAAGTTGGTCGCCGGCCAACATTTAGCCATTCAACTTTTTTTCGTGCAACCCTGCGTTGAGTTGAACAATGCAAACACTGCTTTAGCTACTAAAAGGAACAAATAAAAATTTGGGGTGTTCACAGTTCGTTCCAAATTGTGTCTCAAAATATAGACGTCTACATTTGAGACATGTTTAGCATCAAACTTTGAGCAGTCCTTTCTAGCATTCGTCCCAAAATCGTCGCAAAACTTTACTGGTGTTGCCAGACAATTCTACTTTGCGTCCACTTTTTATATGTCGCATTTCGATTTTGTGTCTGAAAAAATTTTAATTGTTTAACTTTATTACGAATTGCCAATATTTGTTCTTTCTTTTCCTTGATTTGTTTGTTTTCAGCAGACATTGTGCTCAAATGAAATGCAAATACGGAAGACGTGCCAAATAAATTAAAAAATATGATTGGTATTGCCATAATGCAACCCTGCTGCGAGGTTGCAAAATGTAGACGCGTAAAAAACATATCCTTGGGTGTGAAATGTAGACGGCGTCGTTTTCCAATTTTGTATGGGAAACAACAACACCACGGTTAGAAAACGTCTAAAAATGTAGATGTCTACATTTTGAGACACTATTTGGATCGAACTGTGAACAGCCCAATTGGATTATTTTGATCAGTGATTCGGTCTGAGCCGGCTGGTCAAATTTGAACCGATTGGTCAAGCGGTTCAGTTCATAAAGCTGATGCTACATAAAACTTTTGCTTCGCTTTACGTGACAGATTGGCTTTGACAGGCAGCGTTGCCATTTTAGCCGTTTTCCGGCTAGATTTAGCCGGTTTTGATAGCAACTAGCCGGAGAAAATTCGATCTAGCCGGCAGCCGATTTGTTAGCCGGTTTGTAAAAAAAAGTTAGCCGTTCTTAGCCGATTTTACTATTTGCCTAATTTTCAGGTGCAAAAAGTAAACAAGTTGTTCGAAAGCAATAATGCAGACCCAATGAAGATTTTTAATGAACTCAATGTTTTACTTTCGCATCTATGCTCCCTAGTGGTTATTAGCGCGGACACATTTGATCCTATATGCTCCCCGTTGGAACCATATCTTGCTCCATTTCCTCAGTTTTATCACAGTTTTGAAGAGTATTTAAAAACAAAAGTAAGCACAAACGCTTTTGACCACGAAGCCGAGAAAATAATTCGAGAAAATGGTCGCTATTTTATTATCACTTTAATAAAGGAATTACGCCAACGCCTCCCTACAAATATTGCCACACTAAAAAAAATTTACTTTTTTTCGGTTGGAAATGCATTAAGAGTGATTAAACCAAAAGTATTTGTTCAACTACAGCAACAAAAACACAAATATAATGCCGACGAAATAACATTCATAGAGATGCAATGGCAACGGTTAACGTTACATACCTGGAGTAATTTAGACTCAACTGTAAAATTTTGGGCCGAAGTTTATCAATTTCGAAATGCCCTAGTAGGATGCCGCCTACAGGGCCACGCTGCGATCGGGCGCAACGCGAGCC